GACCCACGCCCTGGAGGCCAAGCTCCTCGGCCCCTTTCCGGTTCCCAGCCGAGGAAGCAGCCTTGGCCTCTGCCTTAGTGAACTGGTGCCTCTCGGCTGGAAATTACCTCTCCTTTCCTGCTTTTTCCTTTTGAACTCCTTGGCCGAGGGCATGAGTCGGGGGAAAGAGATGACCAAGGAAAACACGAAAGTTCCTGCAGAGAGACTTAGACGGACACGTCTCCGGGTGGGTGATGGTGGAGACCCTGCGCAGACCCGGAGGCGACCAAGAGGCCGGGAAGGCAAGGACCGCTGGGGGAGGACGCAGCCCGGGTTGTCGGCGCTGGAAAACCCAGCGAGGCTGGACTAAGACGAATGAGAGTCACAGGGGGATAAGGGACGGGGGCTGTCAGAGGCGGCGAAGGGGCCAAAATGCCCGCGGGACGGGAAAGGGAAGGTGAAGACCAACCGCAGCAAACCTCTCGAGGCCCAAGTGGGTAAACTGAGGCCGACAGCGGCGCGGGGCCTGCGGAGTCTCGGGCCAGAGAACAAAGCGCGGGCCGGGGCGGCAGGGAGGGGGTCTCACCTTGTTGTAGAAGATCTCAGGCTGCTGGTTGGGGGCCGGCACGGCCTGGGTGGCGGCGGCCGACAGAAGGCGGCGGCCCAGGCGGGGCCCGAGGGTGGCTGCGGCGCGTAGCATGCTGCGGCAAGGCGGGCGGCGCAGACCCGAGTGCGGGGGGACGCGTGTGCGGCCGGGCTGGGGCTCGGGCGCCGCGGTCCCTCCCCGCCCCCACCTCCCGCGGCCGCCAATGGGCAGGCGGGGCGGGGCGCGGGGCGTGCCACCGCCTGCCGTCCCCCGGCTGGGCGCGCAGCCCGCCAGTGGTGGGTGGGGGAGAGGGCCGGAGCCCCTCCACGGGCCGTCACCGGGCCTGGGAAGGACCCCGGGAGTCAGCTCGCATCCAGGGTGGGGAACGCGGGGCCGCGTGGGGCCTTCAGGATCCTTGAGCGCAGCCTTTTGACTGAATTCAAATTTTACAGAACAAATCCTTTTATTTTTATTTATACATTTTTGTTCGTCTTTTATATTTTTATTTTATTTTTTAAATTAACGTATTTAAAATACCAAAGAATAAAATAAGTTTCGAAATAATCCTCCCAAATTGACCGGCACAATTAGAACATTAGTAAGCCATAAGGGCTAACTGAAGGCTGCTATGCTTCATGATTTAGTTCTAACTTCCCCAACCCCCTGGTGCCACTACCTCATGAGCTGGTTGTCCAGAGTTTATGGGAGTCCAGAAAGCCAGTCCCTTACCAGCTTTTGACAATGGTGCACTGTGTTTCTGTTTGAAGTGGAATTTGTGAATAGTTGCACAGCTCAATAGTATTTCTTAATTCTGTCAGCCCATCATGTCAAAGAAGACCAAGAGAACACTATAGGAAGAAAGCAGATGTTTTAATGAGGATTAGAAATTGTAATATTCTCTTGTTTCTGCTAAAGATAATGTGATTTGCTTGCTTTGTGATACTGCAATATCAACATTAAAGAACTTTAATGCTCATCAGCATTATAACACTCATAAGGACCACAAATATTGAAATTAGAGTGGGAGGCATGAAAAGGTTGTATTGCAGAAATTAAAAGATGAAAAGCAAAAGCAAAGACAATTCTTTCAAACAGCAATAAGACCTGGAAATAATAACACTGAAGCAACTTATAAAGTAGTTTATATACTTGGGAAAAAAAGGAAAGCCATTCAGTGATGTAGAAATTGTGAAAGAATGTGTTATCGAAGTTGTAGAATGCTTAGACCCTGATAACATCTCAAAGTACAAACAACTGCCTCTTTCAAGGAGAACCATAACAGATTGGTAACATGAGTTAGCCTTCAATTAAGCAGAACAACCTCATGCAATACTTCAAAAGGAAAATATATATTTTTCAATGGCTTCTGATGAATCAGCTGATACTACTGACTTGGCCCAGGTTTTATACTTCATTCAGGTCATAACAGAAGATTTTCTTTGCTATAAAGAGTTACTGTCTTTGGGTACTCTTACAAACAGAACAGGGGAAATGGATATCTTCAACAATTTTCAAAATAAATGTCATGAAGTTGGATTGAATTTGGTAAACTTAGTGAGTGTATGTACAGACAGTCCATGACAGGAAAACATGAAGGCTTTATTGCACAGATTTTTAAAAAACCATTAACAGATCCAGATGCTCTCATCTTATCATTGTATCTTGCATGAGCAAAATCTCTTTGCTAAAGCTACAATTTTAAGTGACACTTTGCAACAAGTTATAAGTATTGTTAACTGTATTGCAAATGCAACACAGCCTCATCAGTTTTGTAACATGCTAAACCGAGTTCAGTGTGGTTTGTAGTGTTATTCTAAAGTGTGTTGGCTATCACAGGGATGGGTGTTAGCCAAAATTTTATCTCTGCAAGAACAGATAGTTTAGTTTCATGAAGGACAGAATTAGCAATTTGAATTATTGAAAGAAGCTTTCTATAGGCATGCAGCACATCTGTGTGATATCATGTCAAATCGAAACAACTTGAATATTTCTTTGCAAGGTAAAATTAAGTCTATATATGATATGTGGCAAAAACATCCAAGAATTTCTAAAAAAGCTATCTTTTTTAAAAACACTTCTTCAAAAAGAAATTTCATATCTCCAAATAAGATCACAAATAAAAAAGAAGTAAAAAAAATAAAAAGAAAAGAAAACAAAGAAAGAAATTTCAGATGAACATTTTCACCAGGTAGCAAAAGTCATTGATGAGCAAGATGACGTACTGGAATCATTTGAAGAATACAAACGTTAATCTATTAATGGGAGAAGCAATGAAAGGTTCACTGACTTTGAGAATCATGACATCACACTCAAATTAGCATTGACCTCACATAGTTGATATTACCAAGCCACCTAAAGAAACTACTAGATAGAATTGATTGAGCTCTCAGTAGATGAGATTTTAAAGTCATTGTTGGCCGGCAAGGTCGGCTCATGCCTATATCCTAGCACTCTGGAGGTCGAAGCAGGTGGATTGCTCAAGGCAGGAGTTCGAAAACCAGCCTGAGCAAGAGCAAGACCTCCGTCACTACTGTAAATAGAAGAAATTAATGGCCAACTAATATATCATACGTAGAAAAAATTAACCGGTGGCATGGTGCGCATGCCTGTAAGTCCCAGCCACTGGAGCTGAGGCAGTAGGATTGCTTAGCCCAGTAGTTTGAGGTTGCTGTGAGCTAGGCTGACGCCATGGCACTCACTCTACCTGGCCATCAAAGTGAGACTCTGCTCAAAAAAATAAAAACAATAAAAAAAATAAAGTCATTGTTTGATGCTAAGAAACAGCCAATTGAAATATGGAAAAATGCAGTAGTATGCCCACACCTTCAAGCAACATGCCCAAAATGCTTTTTTGCTTTTTAAACTTATTGCTCGAATTTACACTGTTCTCCTACCTAACCAAATCAAGACGCCCTTAAGGTCACAAATGACTAATACCCATCTAGAGGATCAACTGAAAATGCAGACCTCTATGCTGCAACCAAATATTCAAATGCTTTCCAAGAAAAAGCAGACACAACCATGTTATTAAAAGGTTAGTTAACTTTAAAATTAACAAATAATGTTCATTTTTGAAATTATTAAGCACATGGTAGGTTTTTACAAAATAATGTACATTTTTAAGTATATCTAATTGAAGTTTCTTGAATGTGGCCTTATTTGATAACGTTAAATTAATGTGTCCTTCCAACATGAAAAGGATTCCCACCCCTGCTCTAGGCGGAGAGACCTGCCATAACCCCAAACGTGAGGTCATCTCAGAGAGTGATAAGGCCATGAAGGAGGTGAACGGGGTGAAGAGAGGGATGGAGCTAGTCTTGTAAAGGTCTCAGAAAGAGCATCCCAGGGGGAGGGGACAGCAAGTGCAAAGGCTGGGAAATGGGACCAACCTGGCTCATGCTAGAGAAATGGAAAGAATGGAGTCCCGTGAATCAGTGGGTGGCAATGGGAGGTGAGGGGACAGGTGGGCAGGTAGGGTTTTCAGTGGAGTTCCGTTTGCTTGACTTGCTTCTTTTTTTTTTTTTTTTTTTGAGACAGGGTCTCACTTTGTTGCCCTGGCTAGAGTGAGTGCCGTGGCATCAGCCTAGCTCACAGCAACCTCAAACTCCTGGGCTCAAGCGATCCTCCTGCCTCAGCCTCCCAAGTAGCTGGGACTACAGGCATGCACCACCATGCCCGGATAATTTTTTGTATATATATTTTTAGTTGGTCAATTAATTTCTTTCTATTTTTAGTAGAGACGGGGTCTCGCTCAGGCTGGTTTCGAACTCCTGACCTCGAGCAATCCGCCCACCTCAGCCTCCCAGAGTGTTAGAATTACAGGCGTGAGCCACCACGCCCGGCCTTGACTTGCTTCTTCTTCTTCTTTTTTTTTTTTTGTGGACGAGGTTCTGGGGTCCCAAGAGGGGGGCCCCCAGAAGTCGCCCTTGACTTGCTTCTTAAACTCATCTCAGAATGACAATGGATTATTGGAGAGCAGGAGTGGAAGTGAGGATTTTGCAAAGTCATTTATTCCAGGGACATCCTGAACTGGGCACTAAGGATGCAGGAAAGAATGAGAGGGCACTGGGTGCGAAGGGGGTGGATACTCAGTTAAATGTGTGGATTTTGACCAGATAAATGTCAGCAGAAGCCAGAAGAGCTGAGCTGTGCCTGGGGAAGTATGCTTTTACAGCCGAGAAGTGGAAGAAAGGGGCATATCTAGGCAACAAGTGTCCAAGGAGCTGTTTGTGACTGGAGCCCCTGAAGCCAAAGCAGAAGTTGGCCAAGGCCCAGTTAAGAAATGCAGGCAAAGGCTGGGTGCGGTGGCTCACACCTGTAATCCTACCACTCTGGGAGGCCAGGGCGGGTGGATTGCTCAAGGTCAGGAGTTCGAAACCAGCCTGAGCAAAAGCGAGACCCCCATCTCTACTAAAAATAGAAACAAATTAATCGGCCAACTAAAAATATATAGAAAAAAGAGAGCCTGGAGTGGACCCTGGGAAAGCCATAGTATATCTGGTGTTAGAAGAGCTTGTAGTCTCCAGAGAGGTCGACCAAGAAGAGGGGAGGCTTTGTCACACAGACTCCGGAGCCATGAACATATTTGATCGGAAGATCAACTTTGATGTACTCTTAAAATTTTCCCATATAACCCCCTCCACACAGCAGCACCTGAAGAAAGTCTATGCGAGTTTTGCCCTATGTATGTTTGTGGCGGCCTCGGGAGCCTATGTCCATGTGTTCACTCATTTCATTCAGGCTGGCCTGCTCTCTGCCTTGGGCTCCTTGGGGTTGATGGTTTGGCTGATGGCAACACCTCACAGCCATGAAACTGAGCAGAAAGACTAGGACTTCTTGCTGGATTTGCTGTCCTTACAGGAGTTGGCCTGGGCCCTGCCCTGGAGCTGTGCATTGCCATCGACCCCAGCACCCTTCCTACTGCCTTCATGGGCACGGCGATGATCTTCACCTGCTTCGCCCTGAGTGCACTCTAGGCCAGGCGCCATGGCTACCTCTTTCTGGGAGGTATCTTGATGTCAGCCATGCACCTAACGCTTGTTCTTCCCTGGGAAACCTTTTCTTTGGATCCATTTGGCTTTTCCAGGCAAACCTGTATGTGGGGCTGATGATCATGTGTGGCTTTGTCCTTTTTGATACTCAACTCATTATTGAAAAGGCTGAAAATGGAGATAAGGATTATTTCTGGCACTGCATTGATCTCTTCTTAGATTTTGTTACTCTCTTCAGAAAACTCATAATGATCCTGGCTATGAACAAGAAGGATAAGAAATGAAATGACCACCCAGCCTTTCCCAGTTGACTTCCTCTCCTTCCACCCCTCATTTCTTCTTTGCACACATTACAGGTGGCATGTTCTGTGATAATGAAATGCATCAGAAAATAAAAAAAAAAAAAAATTAACCAGGCATGGTGGCGCATGCCTGTAGTCCCAGCGTACTTGGGAGGCTGAGGCAGGAGGATTGCTTGAGGCAGGATTTGACGTGGCGTAGGCTGAGCACAGCCACTCTAACCGGCTACACAGTGAGACTCTGTCTGAAAAAAAAAAAAAAAAAAAACCCCAGGCAAAAGCGTTAATCCAAAGACCAAAAGAGATCAACAACATATGAGGTTGGGTTTTTTTATGTTTTGTTTTGTTTTGTTTGAGACAGAGTCACTCTGTTGCCTGGGCTGTAGAGTGCCCTGGCATCAGGCCTAGCCACACAGCAACCTCCAACTCCTGGGCTCAATGGATCCTCTTGCCTCAGCCTCCTGAGTAGCTCAGACTACAGGCAGTACCACCACACTTGGCTAATTTTTTCTATTTTTATTAGAGACAGGGTCTCACTTTTGCTCAGGCTGGTCTCAGACTCCTGAGCTCAAGCTTTCCTCCCACCTTGGCCTCCCAGGATTACAGGCGTGACCCACCACGACCAGCCAGCATATGAGTTTTGTCTGGTTTTGTGTTGAAGAGCTAGTATGGTATCATAAGGATATTGTAACAGTGCTTCTGCAAGAGTTATGCTCCAAAATTCCAGTGACTAAACACAATAAAGTCCCTGCTCACATTGTTTCTCACAAGCAGGGACTCCTGGAATTCTCCTCCAGAAGGGAACTTCCAGGAACAAGAGAAAAATATGTCTGGAGAGAGCTGCAGAGAGAATCTGAAAAGGGAGGCTTCCTCCCTTTGCAAATGCAGCCACCCAGTCCCCACTTCCCCATCCCAAAGGCACCTTGCCATTTTCACTTAATAATGTGTGTGGGAGATCATTTTGTCACAGCACACAGGGAAAGTGTCCCCATTCTCTTTACCAGCTTCATGGTATACCGTTGGATACATGAACCATTTTTATTTTATGAACTTCCTGTGGATGGATATTAGGATGTTCCCAATCTTTGCCATTACAAACAATGCTGCAAGATAGATCCTTGACTTGAGAAATGAATAGAAATGGAACCACTAGGTCAAAGCATATTTACAATTTAAATATAGATATTGCTATATTGCCCTCCAAAGTTTGATTCATTTACACTCCACTCTCTGTTATATCTGAGTTTCCTTACACCCTCACCAATAGAATTTTTTTTAGCTTTGCTGATCTGATAAGTGAAAACTACCAGGTTAATTTGCATTTTTCTTTTTAAGACTGAGTTTGAGCAACTTTGCCTAGTCATGTGTTCTTTCTCTGCTGTGAACTGTTCATGTCCCTTGCTTGTTTTTATACCGGATTATTGATCTCTTTAAAATTGATTTGTAGGTGCTACATATATGTGTATATATGCAGTTAACATTTTGTCCATCATATATGATACGAATATTTTCTGCCACTTCTTTTTCTTTTCTTGTTTTTAGAAACAGTGTATTGCTCTGTCACTCAGGCTGGAATGCAGTGGCACAATCATAGCAGACTGTAACCTCAAACTCCTGGGCTCAAGGAATTCTCCTGCCTCAGCCTCCTGAGTAGCTGGGACTACAGGCATGTGTCACCACACCTCGGTAATTTTTAATTTTTTTATAGAGACAGGAGTCTTGCTGTGTAGCCCAAGCTGGTCTCAAACTCCTGGCATCATTCATTTATCTTTTTATTACTAAATGCCCATAAGTAGCTGAGTTTTTCTAAACTTCGGTATATTGTTTCATTGATCTATTCGTGTGCCAGTATGACACTGTTTTGAGCACTGTAGATTTCTCATAACATACTATTATTTCTCCTAACCAAGATTCTTAAGCCTGGAAGTGATGAGGTTGCATATGTGTCTTTGAGGGATTCCTCTGGGGACAGCATGGAAAATGGATTGTAGAGGGGAGGCAGGCTGGAGGCAGAGAGCTGCATTGAGACAGATGATAAGGGCCTGGTTTGAAGAGAGCGTGGAGGTGAGGGTGCGGCAGGGGCAGGGTGGAGGGCAGTGCTGGGGTTTCTACCATGTGCTGTTCACCAAGATGGGGAAGGCAGGAGAAGCAGCAAACTCGGTTGTGGGAAGGGGAAGGAGAAGCTGAGTCGGCTTGCCAACATTCATATGTGTCGACACAGCGTGCAGCAGTGTGCTTAGTCTTTGGTGTGTGATGGGTGTCTAAGTGCAGCACACTTAAGAGAGTTATTGCAAAAAAAAAAAGAATAAGTGCAACACACCTGTTGGTTCACAGGTTGACTTATTCTAGTTCATTCGTCTGTGGTGCTCACCATCCCCCACCAGCAGCTTCCTCATCCTTGGCCCCCTGGTTTGGGCTCACATCTTCCCCACGTGCATCCCAGCATCTCTCCTTAAGGAAATCTTCCCTATCAAGATTCAATCCAGCCGGGCTCTGTGGCTGACGCTCGTAATCCTTAGCACTCAGGGAGGCTGAGGCAGGAGGTATTGCTTGAGCTCAGGAGTTCAAGACCAGCCTGAGCAAGAACAAGACCCTGTCTCTACTAAAAATAGAAAATATTAGCTAGGCGTGGTGGCGCACGACGCCTGTAGTCCCAGGTACAAGAGCGCGCAGGAGGATCACCTGAGCCAGGCAGTTGGAGGTTGCACGTGAGTTATGATGATGCCACTGCGACCTCCAGCTGGGTGACAGAGTTGAGACTCCACTTCAAAAAAAAAAAAGAAAATAATTCACGCCCCAGATTCCATCCAAGAAGACTTCCTCAGACTTCTGTTGGGGAAGTCTTCTAAAACTACACCAAGCCTTCCTTAGCTGCTTTCAAAGTCTTTTTTTTTTTTTTTCCAGAGACAGGGTCTTGCTCTGTCATCCAAGTTGGAGTGTAATGGTCCAATCATAACTTGCTGCAGCCTTGAACTCCTGGGCTCAAGGGATACTCCTGCCTTAGCCTCTGAAGTAGGTGGGACTACAGGCACACACCACCATGCCTAGCTAATTTTTAAAAAAATTTTTTGTAGAGACAAGGTGTCACTGTGTTGCCCAGGCTGGTCTTGAACTCCTGGCCTCAAACAATCCTCCTGCCTTGGCCTCCAAAGTGCTGGGATTACAGGTGTGAGGCACTCTGCCTGGCCTTTCACACAGTCTTCAGTTCAAGGTCAACCAATACTTCAGACCAAGATCTCATAGATGTGCTGAAACCCTAATATAATTATGGCCCCATGTGGCTCAGTCTTTCCAGAGCATTAACTGAAATCTAACTCTCAACCTAGATATTGCCCTGACGGTCTGTATGGACACTTTTCTGTCTTCCATGTTTCTTTAACCTGTTTTCTCAGTCAAGTCAGGCTTTGTTCTAATAAAAACCTCCTTTTCTCTAAATACGCTTTCTCTCTTTTTCTCATTGTCCCTCCTCTATGAGTTCATTGCCAGGAATGGAGCTGGCAAAAGCTCAAACACCCTCATAGTGCTGAGATCTTTGGGACAAACATCCCAAGACACTTCATTTTCTCTAAGATGTGCAAGTTCTTAGCTTTGAAATACTCTCAAAACATTTCATTGTTAGGCCCCAATTAATTATGTGTTTTCAGGTTGAAAAAATCTGCTCTCTAAAAGAGGTCCACCTGCTCTCTAAAAACGGTGGTAACTGTGGTTTCTTTCAAGGTCACTGACTGGTAAGATTTTAGATGTTTGGTTACTTAGTCCTCATTCTGGGACACTGATTCTGTCTCTGGTAATTTTTTTTGCAAACAATGATATTAGATGGGGAATTAAAAGCAACATTTAAACAGGAAGATATTTGCCCTCTCAAGTAGGAGGGAAAATGTGATCACCCTGTGCCCATTTGCCCTCCTTGCTTGCACACACACACACACACACACACACACACACACACACACACACTTTAACACACACACTTTAACACACAGCTGGCTCAGACACTGTGTGATCTCAGGCAAGTCAGCAACCTCTTTGGACCTCAGTCTCCTCATCTCTAAAATGAGCAACAAATAAGCAACTGCCAATTGTTGTAAGGGTTCAAAATAACATATGAACAGTTCCTAGCACCTGGTATGAACTAAACACCTAGTAGCTCTTATTGTTCCATCCAGGTGTGGCCCCCACCTCCACCCAGTGACAGGGTGAGGGAAGTCTAGCCATTCTTCTCACCATGGCTTTGCAACTTGGGTCCAGAACCAGCAGCATCGCCTGCAAGCATATTAGAAAGACAGACCTACCGAACCACGCTGCATTTTAATGAGATCTCCAGGGGTGTTCCTTTCCTGTTAAAATTTGAGAAGCATGGCTGTCTTAGCTGGTCCTCAGCCCTCATGCGGCCCTCACAGGCCTGTACCCCAACCTGAGCACGGCCTCCTCCTTAGCCTGCCTGCTCCTGACTCTAGCCACAGGACAGCTGGCGTGGGCTGCAGCTTACTGTAAGCCAGGTGTGATCCCGTTAATACTCACCCAACTCCCCCGGACAGAGATACTGGTCTCTCCATTTTTCACATGAGAAACCAAGTCTATAAGATGAACAATCGCATCCCAAGGTCACCCAGCTAGTCTGGAACGGCCCATTTGAATTTGGGCCACTGGAATCCAGAGCCACAGCCCTGACAAAGGTTCTCCTTGACCAAAGGCTGCCTCCTCTCGTCAACCTTGGCCTATAAAAACCGCAGACTCTCAGCACAAAGGATTTCATCCACACCCAAACCCCCAGCTTTAACAAACACTGGCATGGTTTCTAACAGCTCAAGGCTGAGGAGCCTAGGCCCCTTAAAGTGCCTGCCTGAGAATGCTCAGTGCTGCCAAAAGAAGTTACTGTTTGTTCCAGCAACACCTGAAGAACAGCCCCTGCCCCCAGCCTCTGTGGGAGGGCAGGAGCCTAGCTTCGATAAGCCCAGTTAGCAAACCTAGCTGGGGTCCCATGGACCAACCCCCTTCCTGCTTATTATAAATTTCCACTTCCCGGACTTTGCTCAAGCCCCCACCCTGCCGTTCCTCCTCCTCCTCCCCTCCTCCACTTCTGCACAAATCACAATGGGGTTTGGTTCCTGCTGGCCCCTCCTCCCTGGTACAACAGTATATTACCAATTAAATCCCATCCTACCACTTTAGCTAGTGTCCAACACTGTTTCTCTACTCAGTCAACTTGATTAAAAGAAATTGTCCCAGAAGCTTGTGAGTTTGGCCCCAGGTCACTAGAGTCTGGGACACCACTGGTCTGCTCTGACATTCACACATCTTTGTGGAGTTGGTGGAGCGGAGACAGTCTGTATCCATGTCACAGCACAGAAGGCAGTGAAAATACCAACCAGAGGCATCTCGGAGTGACAGCCCTGGCACCCCAAGGGCATCCCCGGGGAACTCTGAAGCCCTGGGTGGTGACAGCCACTACAGACTCTAAGATGGGGACATGTGGCAGAGAACACTGTATCCTGTTCTTTCGATGTCACTCCCAGCTGCTGCTTTGAAGGGGCCCCACCCAGGCAAGTTGGCTGGCATCATCTTTCAGCCTCTGTAGAATTGTTCTGGAATGATATGACAGTATCTCAAGTCAGGGCTTGGAGAGCATAGGCAGCCTACAGATGCCAAGACCACAGGAGGCTGCAGGGAGAATGGGGAGGAGGGAGATTGGAAGGGGCACAAGCCTCCTCCGGCGCTGGCATGCTTGACGGGCCCCTGCGGAGCTGGAACAGTCACAGGATAACTGGGAGGGCTCAAGTTTGCAGAAATCCTGTCAGATGGTTGCAAAGAGGGGAGCAGATGGACATGTGCTCAGTCACTTTGGGACAGAATACTGCTGTGAGGAAAAAAATGTTAGTATGCTATGATTATATTTTGTTTCCTTTTCTGAAACAGGTCCAACCACGTAAGGACAATATCCCACAAATAAAACTGGTCAGGCACGATCATTACCAAACCAAGCTTGTTCACGCCCAAGCATGTACCCATAGCCACACGTGTACGTCCACGCTGGACGTACAGTGCTGAGGGATCACCACGTTTGTCACCCTACTTGGCCAACCAGAAATGCCAAGTGTTTGTTGGAGGTGGGAAAAAGGTGAAATTAGGTTAGATTTCCTTTTATTCTTTGTATCTTTTTTTTCTTTTTTTATTCAAACCTTATTGGAACATGTTCTTTGTATCTTTTGCTCATATCTTCTTAATTTCCTGCCTCCCTTCTTTACTTTATTTTTTACTTAGCAGGCGGTTCCTTTGGAGCCCTCTGCCATGAACTTTAAATCAGCTCTAATCCTCCTTTATTCCCTCTTTTTCCTACTGCACTTTGGAGAGTTGCAGGATCTTTTTATAATCCAAATCACATCCTGGCACACCACCACCTAAGCGCACCACTCTGCCACAGCGAGAATCAACAGCAGGCAGACCCCACACAGCCTGGCGCCAGGGCACCCTCCTCAGCCTCACCTGCCGCCCCTTCTCCTGCTCCCTTGCCCCTGGGCCACTCCACCGGGCCTCTGCGTCTGCAGCTCCTCCTTCTGGAAGCACCTCACCCTTTCTTTTTGTTGATCAGGTCCTGGCTTTAGTAAATCTTCTAGAAAGAGTCCTCCTGGGTGCCAACCGGGCAGCTGCACATTCCTCAAGGCCTAGACCAGTGCCTGGCCCAGAGCTGGGCTCAATCCACAGTGGTGAGTGGAATCATCCAGCAGAGCTGGAGGGGCTGACGGGGTGGGGGGTGGGGACTCACCCTTCTGCAGGCAGCATTCCTGGTGCTCTGAGTGGCTCAGGCCCCTTGAGGCAGAGGAGCTGAGAAAGACCCGGGTCACCCACAGCACAGCACCTTCATTCATCTCTGCAGCTGCACTACTGAACAAGCAAGGTTTACCTCAGAGGCCACGACGGACATTCTTACAGCCTCGTAATATGCCAGGCCACAACCACTTCCTCTTTTAAAAAATAACCTCCTCTCTCCTGAGGCCCGAGGCAGAAGCAAGGACTCAGGCTGCTAGAATCCTGCCAGAGTTGGCCAAAGGTTCTTCGCCAGTGTGGCTGGCATTGTGATAGCTAATAGTTTGGGACTGGATTTTAACTTTACCTTCCTTGAGCAAAAAGCAGTTTCTCAGTGTGGTGGAGGAAGGCAAGCTTGGGGCAAGCCTCTGTGACTCTGTATCCTGCGGGGTGGGCCCTGCTGCAGCCCAAAGGCACTCTCAGGGAACGCAGTCCCCGGAGAGGGTGGTCCCTGCTTGGCTGGTCTGACCTGAAATGGCCTTTGGCCATGTCTCCACAAGTTAGGAGATTAGCAGGCTGGGTCCTAACTGCCACCAGTTTATCTGCCCAGGACACCTGGGCTCATGGGTACCCACTACTAGGGGAGTAAGTGAGCATTTCCGCTTTCCTCAGAGAACACTGCTCTCCCAATGGCGCCAGTGTACTGCCCTCCGCCCCCTGCCCCCAAACGCCCTGTCAGCATAGAGCGGAAAGAGGAGTGTGGAGGCTGCAGGGGCCTCACACACATCGCCACAGCTCCTCTGGGGACATTTATATGAGCATTTATATGAGAGTGTGGAACTAAGCAGGGACAGAAGGTGGCTGATTCAGGACCTGGCAGGACTCATGGCATCCACAACCACCCCCTCCCCAAGTTAGGGGCCCAGGCAGTGGCCAGCATCCTGGACACACAAGTGTGAGGAGGAGGAGGTGACAGATGTGCTGAGACTGAGGAGCTGAGGCAGAACCTCTAAGCTCAATGCCTTTGATACGATCCAGAAAGTCCTCAGAGTCTCTGAGATATATTTTCTTACAGTTTTGTGTCCCCACAGCCCGTTTCCAAAATACCATTTAAACTAGTGTACTCTGCCATGGACAATCAAATGAAGAAAATTAGGTGCCAGCGGCTTCACAATTTTGGTTTCATTCCATTTTCCCAGGAGCACTGTAGCCCTGGGGCTTTAGGCCATGGCACTGGTGGCTGCTCTCCTGCCTGCCAGGGACGGGAGGCCACAGCTTCTGCAGCAAGCATGGCGCACTGCCTCGGCAGGGCTCCTGACGTGTCCAGATTCTCACAGCCAGAGAGAGGGCGGCTCAGGCTGCCCAGCCGCCACCAAGAGCCCAAAGACCAGCTTTTCAGGCTCTGTCCCAAAACCCGCGCGGCTCACAGCCAATGCCCTCCTCCTTGCCCGAATCGCAAACACCAGGCTTCTCGTAGAAACATCTTCTGTGGAGACCTGAACAGGCCGAGTGCACCTCGACTGTCCTGGGACAGAGCAGCTGGGCAGGGTGAAGGACCCCGCACAGCAGACCTCTCAAAGGCAGTTGTGGTTCTGGGCATGGCTGGCCCAGCAGGGACATCCGGCCTCCACAGTCCCCAAGGTCTAAGTGCGGTTCTTCAGCTCCATTTTGGCCACTGTCGCCTGGTGCACCTCATCAGGGCCATCGGCAAAGCGCAGTGCTCGGGCCCAGGCGAAGAACTGGGCCAGGGGGTAGTCGCTGCTCAGCCCTGCTGCTCCAAAGGCCTGGTGGACACAGGGCAGGAAGGGGGGAAAGCCCTGGGTGAGCCCTTATCTCTGAGGGTCCCAGAACGAAGGCCTGTGGACTGCTTGTAACAGCTCATGGCAATCATCTCCCCTGGGGGGCCCTTATGACATTTACGTGCTATGATAACTAATAACCCAGATACTTCAGGGGGCCCACACTGGCCGACCCATGGACTTTCCAAGCCCGCTCTGCAAGTGGCTTCTGTTCTGTGTTGGGGCCAGGTGTCAGGATCTGAGGGAGGCCTCCCACACAGGTAAGAGGCTGTGCTGTTTGTTTTTTTTTTTTTTTTGAGACATAGTCTCAGTCTGTTGCTCAGGCTAGAGTGCCGTGGTATCAGCCTAGCTCACAGCAACCTCAAACTCCTGGGCTCAAGGATCCTCCTGCCTCAGCCTCCTGAGTAGCTGGGACTACAGGCATGTGCCACCATGCCCAGCTAATTTTTTCTATATATTTCTAGTTGGCCAATTAATTCCTTTCTTTTATAGTAGAGACGGGGTTTTGCTCTTGCTCAGGCTGGTCTCCAACTCTTGACCTTGAGCAATCCTCCTGCCTCGGCCTCCCAGAGTGCTAGGATTACAGGCGTGAGCCACGCCGCGGCCGAGGCTATGCTCTCTGGAGTCATGAAGACCCAGGTCCTTGCAAGCTGAATGACCTGGACAAGTCACTTCCCTTTCCTGTGCCTCTGTTTCCTCATATTCAAAATGGGGGTGGGATGGCCTCCACCCTGAGGAAAACTACATGTGAAGTGAGGGGGCAATAAAAGCCCTGTCAGGGTTTCCAGGAGGCTGGGCCACCGAAGGTGAGAGTTTCACATCTGGTGTCAACAGTTCAGAGAAGCCAGCTGTCCAGTCTGTGCTCACCTGGATAGAGCGATCAATCACGCGGCAGGCCATGGAGGGAGCTACCATTTTAATCATGGCTATTTCCAAAGCTGCAGCCTGAGAGGAAAAGGAAAGGAGGTGGTTACAAAAGACCTCAGGGCAGAAAGCTTGGAAGACCGATCAGAGTCAAAGAAAGGAATGTAACAAAACAGAGGCTCAAAACAGAGGCTATGAGGTCTCATGGGATGTCAGCCCAAGGGTGACTCAAGACCTCCTAGGAGGCCAGGCATGGTGGCTTACACCTGTAATCCCAGTACTTTGGGAGGCTGAGGTGGGAGGATTTCTTGAGGCCAGGAGTTCTAGACCAGCCTGTGCTACATAGGGAGACCCCATCTCTAAAAAACATAGGAAAAAATTATCCAGGTATGGTGGCACATGCCCACAGTCCCAGCTACTTGGAAGGCTGAAGCAGGAGGATCACTTGAGCCCAGGAGTTGGAGGCTACAATGAGCTACGACTGTGACACTGAAACCTAGCCTGGGTGACAACATTGAGACCCACTCTCTAAAAAAATACAAATTAAAAAAAAAAAAAAAGATGTGCTAAGATGTGAGGCAAATGCCTGGTAAAGGACAGATTTGAAAGTGTAGACACCTTCCAAGATGGTGGGGAATGTGGCCAGCACACAGAGGAGGGGAGGGGAGAGGGGCTGTCCATTGCTCAGCTCCATCTCCAAGCCACAGCAAACCAAGGCCAGCCAGGGGTCCAGAAAACCGAGCTACTAGGATCTGTTCAGGAAGCAACTGAGAGGCTCTACCACATCCAGCCCTAGGGCATCAAAGAACCAAGAACTGTGAGCCTGGGTCATCCCCTCAACGCTCAGGCTCTTGGGAGTAGAGGCTGCCCCACAGAAAGCTGGACAAAGCAGGTCAGTGTCGACATTGTGCCTGGCCACCACAGGCACTTAGAAAGAGCCTTTTTTGTTGTTGTTAAGAAACAGGGTCTTGCTCTGTCACCTAGGCTGAAGTTCAGTGGCACAATCATAGCTCACTGCAGCCTTGAATTCCTGGGTTCAAGCAATCCTCCTACCTCAGCCTCCTAAGCAGCTAGGATTACAGAGGCTCACCACCACGCCCAGCTAATTTTTAAAATTTTTTTGTTGAAATGGGGTCTTGCTATGTTGCTCAGGCTGATCTCAAACTCCTGGCCTCAAGCAATCTTCCCACCTCGGCCTCCCAAAGTGCTGGGATTACAGGTGTGAGCTACCGCGGCTAACCAGAGAGAGCTTTAATTAAGGAAAACATCACACTGGGAAATAAGCTTCTATTTTGGCTAATTCTATATTTGGATTAAGGCCAGGAGAGGGTCCCTTCTCCCTTCCTACTCTTTTTTGCCTGACACCTGCACCAACATACCCTGGGATGCCAGGGCTGACTGGGGGCCACATGGCCCGGCATGGCCCACCGTCTCAGACTAAGAAGTTCACCAGGTCAGTAAAACAGAAAGGTTGGTCCTTTTTTATTGTGCCTTTTCTATTTTTAAAAAGCTGCCCAAACAGTTTTAAGTACAGTTGAAATAAAGATTTCAACATCAAGAAGCCAAGCTTTTTCCCCATGCTTTGCTGAATGAGAAAGAATGGGTTTCCTCACAGCGACCTCTGGCCTCCATTCCCTGGGGCCCTCCCGGGGGCCTCTGCCTCCTACCTTGTTTCCTGCCGCGTCCATGAGGTGGGCAGCTTTCAGCACCAGCAGCCGGGCCTGCTCGATTTCCACCCGCGACTGCGCGATGTCTGCCAGCACCGTGCCCTGCTCCACCAGGGGCTTCCCGAAGGCCACGCGGGACTTCACCTGTCACACAGGAGACACAGGGCTGGGGACACGCTGGCCTCAAGAGGCACAGGGCCTGGTGGCCTGCAGAAGTGGGTGGGAGGAAGCACAGACAGGATAAGGCAGGAGAGGAGAGCGAAAGCAGGAACGTGCAGCTTATCTGCCAAGTTGCCAGCAGCGTCTGGACACGAGACATTCACTGCAGCAGAGCGAGCCCAGCGACGCTCCACGTGGTGCCTCTAACCACCCTTTACTCCAGCAATTCCAGCCACCTACAGGCAGGCCCAGCTGCCAAGCAGGAGCCTTTCTTTTAGATCAGAGCCAGCATCTAGCCCAGGGCTATTCCTGGGACTTGAGGTGACATGGGCACCTCCCCCGGAGCAGGGCGATGGCGCCCTCTGCTGACTGTGGTGCAGCGTCCCACGCGCTGTCAGGAACATGGAGCCCCCTTGTGGGTGACCTTATGGGGATTTCAAGCTCTGAATGCCACAAGGCATGGGAAAAGTAAGTATTCTTTGTTTTCTTGTATTATTTATTTTTCTAAAAATGATTTTTACAGGGCCGGGCACGGTGGCTCACGCCTGTAATCCTAGCACTCTGGGAAGCCGAGGTGGGCGGATTGCTTGAGGTCAGGAGTTCGAAACCAGCCTGAGCAAGAGCAAGACCCTGTCTCTACTATAAATAGAAGGAAATTATTGGCCAACTAATACACATAGAAAAAATTAACTGGGCATGGTGGTGCATGCCTGTAGTCCCAGCTACTTGGGAGGCTGAGGCAGCAGGATTGCTTGAGCCCAGGAGTCTGAGGTTGCTGTGAGCTAGGCTGATGCCACGGCACTCACTCTAGCCTGGGCAACAAAGCGAGACTCTGTCTAAAAAAAAAAAAATATTTTTACACAAATAATATGTCATGGCAGAAAAGCAATCAATTCTAAGAACAGAAAAGGGAAGAAAAACACCTAGTATCCCACCATCTAGTCACTTATAGTTAATATTTGCAGGATATCTTTCTAGACTTGTGTGTGTGCACACATTTTTTTCCAAAAAATAGGAGTCATACTCTGTCTATTTCTCTGTAGCTCACTTTCAAATTTAAGAGTATCGAGGGAACATCTCTCAGTGTTAAGGGGCAGATTTTCACAGTGTCATTCTGGATTCACTGCTGTCATCCATCCCATGGTTTATTTGGCCAGTCGGCCATTAGCCTGATAGGTTGTTCCCAACATTTTGCTGTTAGAATCAATGCTGCAGTGAACCTCCTAGCAGTAAATCCTTTGTAGATTCCTAATTACTCCATTACAATCAAACCTGAGTGGAGCTGTCATGTTAACACCAAGCACCTTCTAAGCACTTTCTTTTTTTTTTTTTGAGACAGAGTCTCACTTTGTTGCCTGGGCTACAGGCATGAGCCATCACGCCGGGCCAACACTAAGCACTTTCTGAAGACTTTTCATACCTCCAGTGTAATTGCTCTGCAGAGAGGCTGGTGCGAGTGTTAATGCTGTATAGGGCTGAAGCACTATATTTGAATCCTCAGGGAGAAGCATTTTATTTTCAAAGAAAAAAGAACTGGTCAGTCTCAACACAAAAGGGTGTAAATCACCGGTTTGCTCTGTAGTCAAAACCTATCGCATCGACTGCCTCTGTTCTTTGTATGGCGTGTCTTGCAAGACATTTGGTTTGGTCTCAGGGTTAGCTTCACCTCTGTGAAACTGTTACCACCAATTGGAATTCCTGCCCCAGCAGTGGTTCTTTTACACAGGCTTCCAACCTCTGTGGGGTCACAGCTGAATAAAGATTTCTGGACATACCAGGGGAAGAGGGTAGTATAGGGCCAGATGCTGGAACCCCAGGGATGAAAACAAGCACCATGGGTTCTCCCTGGTGTCTGATTTTTTTTCTTTTTTTGAGACAGAGTCTTACTCTGTTGCCCCGGGCTAAAGTGCCATGGCATCAACCTAGCTCAGAGCAACCTCAAACTCCTGGGCTCAAGCGATCTACCTGTCTCAGCCTCCTGAGTAGCTGGGACTACAGGCATGCGCCACCATGCCCAGCTAATTTTTTCTATATATTTTGAGTTGGCTGATTAATTTGTTTCTATTTTTAGTAGAGATGGGGTCTCGCTCTTGCTCAGGCTGGTTTCAAACTCCTACCTTCAGCGATCCAGCCACCTCGGCCTCCCAGAGTGCTAGGATTACACCACGCCCAGCCCCTGGTGTCTGATTTTTAACCATGTGCTAGGAGTGCAAGTGGCTCTCGGCAGCCCATAACCCTTTGGGCTTTGGAAGCTGGCCTTTTGCTTCTGGTCACCTCAACGGGGTGGGGCCCATCCTGCTCTGAATTCACACAGCAGCAACACGGCAGATGCAAAGCCAAGACCGGAACGCAACTTTGTGGCAAAGACATCACCTTGCTTTGCCCGCTAGGTCTGCTCCCAGAAAACTGGTAGGATTTGACGTCTGACAGCAAAGGAGACAGCTGAGGTTCGGGGTCAGTGCTGGGGGCAGAGAGAAGCACTCACTCGGGCCTTCATGAGCGCCAGGGCCCTCTCTGAGAACCCGATCAACCTCATGCAGTGATGGATCCTGCCGGGGCCCAGTCTGCCCTGGGCGATCTCAAAGCCTCGGCCTCGCCCCAGGACCATGTTCTCCTTAGGCACACGCACGTGCTCAAATCGGATTTCACCATGGCCACCTGAAATACCCAAATGATCACGTTTAGCCCTCCCGTTTCCCTTGGATGTGTTTACTCTTTGCATCTGTTTGGGTTAACTACTCTCGTAACTAACCCAGCTAGTTAACCTTCTAACTGAGACACAGTTAAAGGGAAAGGGACGGCAGGAAGGAGCCTATTATAGATAGAAAACGAATCACTGGTTTATAATGGCAACTGGATATTCTGTCATTCATTTTATGAAAACAATGATGCCACCCTAAGCTGAAATGCCCCAGTACTTTGTGCCTCTACTGATATACTGATCCTATGGAAACACTGAAGGTAAAACCATGTACATTGTTAGCAGAGAACCCCAGTGAGAAGACCAAACTGAGGCTGTGGCCTAGAGGTCAGCTGTCCCCACTGGGGCCTAGAAGAGGCCTGGAGTCCACTTCCTGCCTCTGCCGTGTGTGGCTTCCTGTGTCACAGAGTCCTGCTTACATTCTAAGTTTAGAAGAGGAAAAAAATGCATAAATGCCTATCTGAAATCTGTCTACATGGTTGGTATTCCTGTATGGAAATGAAAGACAGGAGCACGCGGCCCTCCAAATGTCATCATACCCTTTCACATGGGACATGGCAAGTCCTGAATGAGAGCAAAGGCTGCCAAAGCCGTTTCCCAGGGACCAGATCCACCCAGGGTGACCCGCCCCAGAGGATCGAACCTGGAGCGTCCTCCAGCCCATACACTGTCAGAGGCCGGATGATTTTTATCCCTGGGGTATCCATGGGAACCAGAAGCACGGACTGCTGCCGGTGTCTTGGGGCGTGCGGGTCTGTTTTTCCCATAAACACACAGAGTTGGCAGCGAGGATCCAGGACGCCTGCCAGGAAAGGGGAGAGACAGATCCCGATCATCTGATGCCAGGGCCACCAAATCTCTTTACCACGCAGTCCTGGCCCAGGAAAGGGAATGCAGCAAGCAGGCAGAGCTCTTTGAGACGTCACATAGTCAGATGTGCATTTGCAGGCTCTCAACCAGAAATAAGAGCAAATTGGGTTTTGTCCCAGTGAGGAATGAATCCAACATCATAAGAGCAAGTTTTTTTAAAAAGCATCATGTAGAGTTGGAAATATAATTTAGAGATAAGAGTCTGCAAACTGCTACACTGTCACTGCCAGCCTGTTCTGCTCTATTCCCACAGGCGGTGTAAACATCGTGGCTTTGGGCCCAGGCTTTGGAATCAAGCAAACCTTCAACTCCAAGTTCCCTACTTGGAAGCTGGGGGCTAGCACATTAGGGAAGTGACTCCCTAAGGCTCCATAAATGGCAGGACTGTCATTAGTCCTGAGGATGCAACACGCCTGATCTAGGGAAGCCAACAAGGAAGTGACATCCCGCCTTTCCAAAGGGAGCTGCCCAAGGCAGAATGAAGAGAGCAGGGTGAGTGAAGAGATTTCTGGAGTTATGTGTGGTCATCTGGGGACATCTCCACCCCTGGGAAACAGCACACTACATGCAGTGCCCTCTTGTTCTCCAAGGGTTTGCTGCCTCTGCTGGGGGCACAAAGAGACAATCTCCTTTGTGTCAACTGAAAAAGAAGCTGGCCACGACCAGGCACCAAGAGACATGCCCATCAGTACAGACTCGAGGTGCACTTGAAAAGCGAATTTCACGCCAAATACCTGTGATCCACCACTTATGACCGTTTATGACATAGAAGCAATCCTCCTCTCTGATGGAAGCCTCAATGTTGGTGGCATCTGAAGAGGCAACCTGGGTGAGAGCACGTTCTAGTTAGAGCTGCCAATGTCGCCCAAGGGGCCTGGCAAGTGGGGAGTGGCCCACGTGAGGTACCTGGGGCTCGGTCATAGCAAAGCAGGAGCGGGCCCTGCCCTCCAGCAAGGGGGTCAGCCAGCGGGCCTTCTGCTCCTCGGTGCCATACCGCACCAGAAGCTCCATGTTCCCTGTGTCGGGGGCAGAGCAGTTAAATATCTGAAAAGGAAAAAGAGCAAACAGTGACTCTCACATCCATATTTGTAACTTCAAATGCCGTGGAAGTAGTGGAACGGGACCCCTTCCAAGTCACAGACCCTCTGATGTCCTCACGAGTTCTTCTCCCTGAGAAATGCCCAGACACACAGCATTTTGAATATGGTATCTCAGAGGCCATGAAGCCCAGCCACAGACGGCTTTGTCTGGGAGAAAAAGGCCTGGAGGGGGCGCTGCAGGCTCATATGGCTCTGTCTTCCCTGAGCAACTCCCCGCCCTGAGCTGCTTTCTCACTACCACTCTAACCACCTGCCTGCAGTTGTCCTTCCTTGTAAGAAGTTTATGTTTTTATTTTATTTTTGTTGGTTTTGAGATAGGGGCTCACTCTGTCACCCAGGCTGGAGTGCAGTGGTGTGATCATAGCTCACTGCAGCCTCAAATTCCTGGACTCAAGTGATCCTCCTGCCTCAGCCTCCTGAGTAGCTGGGACTACAAACATGCACCAGTATGCTTGGCTAATTTTTCTATTTTTTGTAGAGATGGGGTCTGGCTATGTTGCCCAGGCTGGTTTCGAACTCCTGGCATCAAGTCATTGTCCTGCCTCAGCCTCCCAAAGTGCTGGGATTATAAGTGTGAGCCACTGTGCCAGCCCTTATAAGAAATTTAAGTTCAAGTTGATGCTCCTGAATCCACTCTTGTATTTGTGCAGGAGAGGGACTGGATGGTGAGGGGAGACGTTCTCATGGAAGACCAGGATATTCTTGCATGCTGAGAAAAACTTTAAAGAAGGTACCTCAGGAGCATACAGAGACGTGCCCATGAGCTCACACAGATGTGCATACTCCACGTTGGTCAGTCCTGCGCCATATTTCTTCTCGGGATCAGTCTCCAAGGGTACGAAAAGGTTCCAAAGTCCTTCGGCCTTGGCTTTCTCCTACCATGGGAAAAATAAGTCATGGAACCACAGTGGATGACTTAATTTTATTTTGGGCCATGGAAAATAATGAAAGGGATTGGTGGGAATAAGGCAGACAGCCAAAGCTACAGTGTGTGCTAAAATCAGTGGCATGAGTCTGGGCCATCTCCATGTCCCGGACATCCCCACACATCCAGATTTCACCACTACTAGCATGAGTCTTGTTGTAACTATAAATCTTACTAGAACACACACAATGACCACAGCAGACTGACAGGTCCTTCAGCACATGTGATAGGAACCAGGCCCAGTACCTCTGGCTGTATTCTATATGGTGAGTAAAGAGATACCCAGAACAAACTTCCTTTATGAGGAAAATTTTGCTCTTGGGACAAGGAGCCCAGAATGTAGCTCTGGGATGGGCAGCTAGGAAGTCTGTCCTAGGGCGAGGGGCTCAGGCTGCCCGGGTCATATGCAGCCCCGCTGTGCCTTGCTGTAGGACTCTGGGCCAGATACTTGATCTCTGTGTTTTGGTTTCCTCATCTATGAAATGAGGATGTGAGCACTACCCTATCAGTCAGGACTATGGAGCTGCAGTCACAAAAACTAACTAACTTCAGTGACTAACTGAAGGGGAAAAGGTATTGAATGGGAAGATTCTCAGGGGCTCTCAAACTGCACAGGGAGATAAGGGAAGGAGGCTGAGAAATGGACCAGGGCAGCCCAGAGGGTTGCACTAGGATAGGACACTTGGCCACCCTGCTGGGGCCATCCCGCTGTGGAATAAGTGAGCACCAGCTGTCTTCTATCTTACAAACACAGCTCACTCTCCCATTTCCAGGAAGAGAGAGTCTGGCCAGGTTTCATGGCTTCCGTGACAACTTCTTAGCCAGGGACGGCTGGGCTGGTGAGTGCCGGCTCTGTCAGACTGGGCAGACTACATCCAAAGGCAGAGAGAGGGAGTGCCCCTGGGTAAAACCAGGGTGCTGCCACCAACAGAAGGGGGAATGGATACCTGTGGACCAGGGTCCACAGCACCCACCTCACTGGGTTGTGAAGATGAAATGAGATAACACATAGAACATAAAGAGCCCAACACAGAAGCTGGCGGGTTGCAATGAATATCAGTGATTATGGATATAATCATTGTCATTGCTTCTTCTCAGTGGGGAGGTCACCAGCTGGCCTGGTCTCAATGCCATGTGCTTCCAGAATCAGTACATGCACATGTCTCCCTCAGACCTCATGTCTGAGCTAATGAGCTCAGAGTACAATGACCAAGGAGAAAAAGGGCAGATTCACTGCAAGGGAGGAAGAAGTGAGAAAAGTTCTGAGAAGCGAAAGATGAGGAAATGAATCTAATCACCTGCTTGCAGGAGGAGGGACAAATGAAACCACAGAATTCGAGCCTGTAGGCCTGGATTTGAATCCAGGTGCTATGATATCCCACTGTATACTGTGCACAAATCTATTTCCTTATCTTTAAATTCTCACCTCCCAGGATCTGAGATAGGTGTGGTAAATCGCCAAATACTCTTCCTTATTTATGCGTAGCAATCACAATTTTGATAGAAATCATAGGCTATTATTTCATCACTCTACCCAATAATCTTATTTAACATTATGATTTCATTCAGGTACGACTAGAAGTAGAATGTTCTCCAAGATAGTAAGCATCCATTTTCGAGAATGAAAGTGTTTGCTGCATGAGTATTTACTTTTCTAATGTTTCTGTGCAGCTGGCCTCGTGTCAGATGGCCAAGGACCACGCGTGCTGGTCAGCATGAAGGGAAAGGGCATTTCGCAAATTAATGATGGCATTAATGTGCACCCACTGTGGGACCCTCGGATGTGCTCCCTCCGTGTGCTGATGTGGAAAGCTGACACTTCACTTGATTAAAAAAAGCAAGCAGGAGATTTGAATATATAGAATGTTTCCATCATAACATAGGAATAATAATATATGTTAGTATATTATAGAAAAAAGCTGGGAGCACAATATACCAAATTGTTGACAGTGATTATCTAGGAGGGCAGAGAAGGTTAGAGAACTCTTACTTCTATGTTATGTCCTTTTATCATGTTTGAGCTCTGATTTTGTGATAGGTTTATAACTAGAAAAGAACTGATAATGCTTTTTTTTTTTTTTTTTTTTTTTTTAGAGATAGGGTCTTGCTTTGTCCCCCAGACTGGAGTGCAGTGACCTGATCATGGCTCACTGCAGGCTCAAACTCCTGGCCTCAAGTGATCCTCCCACTTCAGCCTCCCAAAGAGCTGGGATTATAGGCATGAGCCACCAAGTCTGGCCTCATAATGCTATTTTTTAGAAAAATATATGATGGTTGCATTATGCTCCTGAAGATCTCAAATAATTTAAAAATTAACAGAATCCAAGGGTAACCCCAACAAAGGAAAGCAGATATTTCTGTTCATCAGCTGAAGAAACATCACCGTGAGGTAACATATGACATGCAAACGCAGTTTACAAGCAATTTGGCCCCCTGACATTATGGATTCTGCAGAGAGACTTTATTAACTGATGTAGCACACTGCTTCACATTTACATAATTCACATATGTGTAAGATAAACCCACCTGTCCCGGCTTCCTAAGCCGCAGACACAACAGTTCTCTGCCTGGGCTGCACAGTCACACCTGAGCTATCTGGCTGTGACCTGGTCACGCAGCAAGAGAGACATGGAAACTGAGTCATGAAGAGCTGGCTCTTTCCAATGACTACGGAAGCAAAGGCAATTCGACTCAGTGCTCCTATATCCTAACTGCCTGGAAGGGCACAGATGAGCCTGGTAGGGCGAGCTGAGGGTCTGCCATGTCAACAAGGTCTTCCTGCCTCACGACAGGCTGCTTTACCTTGAGATCTTCAATCAGTGGGGAGGGGCTCCATCTGTCCGCTGCGGCCTGGTGACCCTGCAGCTCTGGCTCCGCAGGGTACACATGCTGCTCCATAAAGTGCTTCAGCCGGTCATACAGCTCTCTGACCGGCGGGGAAAGGCCCTCCGGGGAGATCACCAGAGCTCCCTTGGAAGCATGAGCTGGGGAAGCTTCTGGAACAGAGCTGTAACTCCTCGTGCCTGTGGGGCTCAGCGGGGACCGTGGACCCGCCCACATGTGGTAGGACCTCGTTAATGGTTTTGTGACTGGCATCTCTTTGAAAACCCGGAACCCTTCTTTGACTGCAAAATCCCATGCCAGGTTAAACATAAATTCAGTCAGCTTTCCAGTTTGTTCAGCAGCTGCTGAGCTTGCCTGCCCTAAGTAGAATCAAAGAAAAACAGTGATTACTCCCAAACGACCCTTCGTAATAATGTTAACGTATAATATTGTTATTTCAGCAGCTACTATTGTTTGCTGAGCACTGGCCATGTACCAGACAGTGTGCTGAGAGCTATTATTACGACTCATCGAATTCCCAAAGCAATACAACTGCTTGACTCTGCATTTTGAAGACAAGGAAACTGAGGCTTAGAGAGGAAGGTGACCCACCCCAGCTGGAAAGTTAGTGAGCTCAGGGTCAAAGTCCAACTCAGGTCTGCCTGTTCCCTGCTCTTAATTTCTTCTTTCCTAAAGAAACTGAATTTAATCAGTAATATCCCAAACCACTTCTGCTGTCACCGATGGGCTATAAGAAATCCTGTGTTATTCCATTCCAGTATGCATCAAAAACAAAAAAATAAAAGTATAAAAAAATAAAAAAAAAAAAGAAATCCTGTGTTATCCTAGACCACGCCTGCTATGAAACTGATAACAGCAGTGCCATGATTGATTAGAGGAATGGCCAGTTTATAGGCACCACGTTTTCTGGATCAACAACCAACACAGAACTCTATTTTGCTCTCACTGTCTCTTTCTCTTTTTTTAATATGTGCATCAAGACTGTTTTTTTTAAACTTTTTTCCACATTAAAAAAACATTAAGAGGCCGGGCATGGTGGCTCATCCCTATAATCCTAGCACTCTGAGAAACTAAGGCGGGAGGATCACTTGAGGTCAGGAGTTCTAGACCAGCACGGGCAAGAGTGAGATCCAGTGTCTACTAAAAATAGAAAAATTAGCTAGGCAACTAAAAAACTGGGAAAAATTAGCCAGGCATGGTAGTGTGCGACTGTAGTCCCAGCTACTCAGGAGGCTGAGTCAGGAGGATTGTTTGAGCCCAGTAGTTTGAGGTTGCTGTGAGCTAGGCTGATGCCACTGCACTCTAGCACGGGCAACAGAGCAAAAAAATAAATTAAGATATAATGTAGGCCAGGAGCGGTGACTCCCGCCTGTAAACCTAGCACTCTGGGAGGCCGAGGCGGGTGGATTGCTCGAGGCCAGGAGCTCGAAACCAGCCTGAGCAAGAGCGAGACCCTGTGTCTACTATAAATAGAAAGAAATTAATTGGCCAACTAATATATATAGAAAAAATTAGCTGGACATGGTGGCACATGCCTGTAGTCCCAGCTACTCGGGAGGCTGAGGCAGAAGGATTGCTTGAGCCCAGGAGTTTGAGGTTGCTGTGAGCTAGGCCGACACCACGGCACTCACTCTAGCCTGGGCAACAAAGCGAGACTCTGCCAAAAAAAAAAAAAAAAAAAAAAAAAAGATATAATGTACATACACCTCTCAGTGTACAACTCAGTAAGTTTTAACGAACCCATAGTCAAGTAAACACCACTGCCATCAAGATAAAGAATATTTCCATCACGCTCAAACTTCTCTTGTGTCCCTTTGTACTTAACATCCCTGCCCCTCCATCCCTGGCACACTGATCTCTGTTCCTACAGTTTGTCTCTTCCAAGATAATACATAAATGCACACATCATATGGGATGTGGCCCTTTCAGTATGGCCTCTTTCACTCAGAGCACTGCATCTGAGACCATCCATGTTCTTACACATATACTGTCTCATTAGAATGGGCTTTTTGACAGCCAGCTCTCCAGTATTAGTTTTAGCATTTCCATGTCTCCAAAAGACTATTTCCCTCATTGTCTTTATATTCATAAATAGATCTTCACAGAGGTCCATTTTTCTTCCAGCTCCTGCCACAGTCAACTGGTAGGTCTCAAAAGAAAGGCATTTTTGTGCAGCTTTGGTATTAAAGATAGCTTACACTATTCCTTACTGAGTTAAGAACCAAATTCTTTGGTATCCAGCAGAGAATCAGCCCACTGGACCTCAACAGGTCTTTACTGAGCACCTTCTGGGTGCTGGGTATGGACCTAAGCCCTGGTGGGTCAGTTGGGAACCAGACACCCACCCCCCGTGCTGCAGTGGCACAGCGAGGCCGGTGACTGCGAGAGGGCTGCATTTTCCCCTCGTCGCTCAGACTGTACACGGCACATTGAAGGGAGAGATATTCTCCTCAAATTCATTGTTATTCACAATGATTTTCTTCTTCTAACAGAGTATGAGTTGCAGTCTTAATTTTTTTCTATTTAGTTGGATCTCGCTCTCAGACTGCTGCGTTGTCTCTGAGAAAGCCACTCGTATGAGCTTGGGTTGATTTAAAGCTATTGCTTCTGGTATATTCTCCCAAATGTAGTCCCAGCGTAAGAGACACCTCACTGGCGTCCACCTGAATTGCTGTCATAAGCACTTTATCCTTTCTAGAATTTCGGTGGCCATCGATGAGAATGCTGAATGTCTGTAGCCACCAATCACTGGAGGAGAGAGAACCGTGACTGGTACCGACTATGAACCTGCTCAGGCTGGTTTTGAACTCCTGACCTTGAGTAATCCACCCACCTCGGCCTCCCAGAGTGCTAGGATTACAGGCGTGAGCCACTGCGCCTGGCCCATCGGATGTTTTTATATTATTTTTTCAAAAAATGGATTTCATTATTTTTATGTGAGAAAACTAAGCCACTTCCTGTATGTCTGGCTGGCTTGTGGTGGGGGGAAGGGAGTGCACAATTGGGATCAGAGGAATAAAGGCCTGAAAGGACAGCACACCTATTTTTCTGTGTGGTGGCAAACATGGGTGTTTTACTTCCCAGCCAAGAGAAGCCTGAAGCCAAGTCAAAATGGTCCACGTGAGCCGAAGGGCTTCCTTCCTGATAGGCAAGTGGAGAACAATCCAGCGGGAGATTGTAAAATGGGTAATTCTTAGTGGGCAAACCTATTTGGCTATCCCCAGGGCACTGGAGCAGGGAACACAGAGAACTCACAGCACTGGGAAATGTCAGAGGCAATCAGGCCTGTTCATCCCCATAGGGTTTAGGGTTTAGCAGCCATCCTGTTTAATTAAATGTTTCCGGTTAGTTTTTACTGCAAAGCCATAACAAAAAAGAGAAATGGTGGCTTAGAACTAATGCTATCCAAAGGAGAGAAAAATATCATCTCTAGGAATTCCTGCTGACTGGGAACCCTGCTTATCAGATGATGTGAGAGTTCAAACTAGAGATTCTCCAGACACTGACTTTCCTCTAGACACTTGCTCACAACTCTGTACTCTAGGACCACTTGACACAGTGCTGGTGCTTAGTAGGACTCAGATGCTTGTGAATGAGTGATCAATTCCCTACCACAACTGACTGTCTCAGAAGAATCTAGCAACCTGGCTGAGAGTGCGTGCTGCCAGCAAGCTTGGGGTATGCTGATAGCAATCCTCTTACTGGGCAATTTGTCAGCACCTATAAAAATTTTAAATGCACATACTTTTTTATTATTATTTTAGCATATTATGGGAGTACAAGTGTTAAGGTTATGTATATTGCCACACAGCAATTTTAATTCTTTTTTTTTTTTTTTTTTTTTTTTAAAGAGATTTATTCTGAGCCAAATTTGAGGACCATGACCCGGAGCCACTGCCAAGAGGCCTTGGGCCAGCAATTTTAATTCTGGGGATTTAACCTTCAGATATATTTACATATATATGAGAAAGGATGTCCACCAACCTGTTTGTAATTGCAAAAATCTGCAAATAATTCATATGGACATCAGTCAGGTAACTGATTAAATAACTTATAGTATATCCATACGTTGTAATGCTCTATAGAAATCAAAGAATGATATAGACTTGTACATACTCATGTGAAAACGTCTCTGTGTGAAATACTGTTAAGTGAAAAACAAAGCAAGGAATTTGCCCTGTATAGTTGTTAAATACCCAAATATATTTACACACATGCAAATATTCCACAGAAAGTCTTTTCTTTTTTCTTGAGACAGAGTCTCACTCTGTTGCCCAGGCTAGAGTGCCATGACGTCAGCTTAGCTCACAGTAACTTCAAACTCCTGGGCTTAAGCGATCCTTCTGCCTCAGCCTCCGTAGTAGCTGGGACTACAGGCATGTGCCATTATGCCTGGCTAATTTTTTCTATATATTTTTAGTTGGCCAATTAATTTCTTTCTATTTATAGTAGAGATGGGAGTCTCGCTCTTGCTCAGGCTGGTTTCGAACTCCTGATCTTGAGTGATCCTCCCGCCTCGGCCTCCCAGAGTGCTAGGATTATAGGCATGAGCTACTACACCCGGCACATAGAAATTCTTAAGCATAAAAGATTTAAAAAAACAAAGTTCTGAAAAATACATGTAAGCAGATCACATTTGTGTAAAAAGAGGAGGAGAGAGAAGACAGATATATAGAAAAAAATTGGCAGGTTTAAGGAACTCTCAACAGTTACACTTATCTTTGAGGAACAATATTGGGAAGACAGAAAATAATTTTTTTCTTTTCTTGTTTTTTTTTTTTTTTTGAGACAGGGTCTTGCTCTGTTTTCTGGACTACAGTGCAGTGGCATCATCATAGCTAACTACGACCTTGAACTTCTGGGCTCAAGTAATCTTCCTGCCTCAGTCGCCCAAGTAACTGGGACTATAGGTGAGCACCACCATGCCCAGCTAATTTTTTTTCATTTTTATATAGAGATGAGATCTCATTATGTTGTTCAATTTGGTCTCAAATTCCTGGCCTCAAGTAATCCTCCCAATTCAGTCTCCCAAAGTGCTAGGATTACAGGTGTGAGTCATGGTGTCTAGCCGGAAAATAATTTTATATTCTTCTGTATGACTGAATTTTTATCATATGCATGTATACTTTAACTGAAAAAAATTTTCATTATTTTATATTTATATTTATTATTTATATTTATATTTTATTATATTTATTATATTCTATTTTGTTTTATTATATTATATTTATATTTATATATATTATTATAATATATGTTATATTTATAATGCATTATTTTAATCATTAGAAAACAAGTTTAAATGTTTTACAGGAAATATATATGACAAATGGTTGGATTAACTGAATCTTACAGAATCCTGGCCAAACCAGTCCCTCCAAAGCCTTTTATAATTCTGGAAATGTAACCTTCAGATATAGTCACACACACGTGAGAAAGGTGGAAGCCCATCTTGGCTGTGACTCACACCCTCAGGCTGGCTCTGCGGGGTAGCCATCCTGTTACCTGTGAGAGATCGCTTGTAGACGCCCTGCAGGATGGCACCCACGCGGAAAAAGGAGAAAGCCATATAGAAGTTCCAGTTCTCAATGGGAGGGATCCTCATGTGAAGACAGTACATCCTGAAATACTCCTCTGCAGTAGGGATTCCCAGCTGAGTCACATCACGGTCATTAAAACCTGGGAGAAAGACAAAGTCATTCCTGGGCAGTCAATGACACTACACTTCTCTGTGGCTGATAGGTCTTTAAATTCTGAAAATCACTATGTCCCTTGGAAACTAGTTTCACAACTAGTTCTAAGGGTTAGCTTGAGATTTCAGTAGCTCTTCCTCCCTCAGATGACTGGGAATCCAGGCATTTATTGTTCACAAATTGGCTCTTAAAGTTTCAGCCTAAATTGGCAGTAAAGGAAGGAATGGGGTCTTCCAGTTCCATCCAGACCACAGTTCAGGGGGGTGCTCATAATCTTCAACCAGTCATTTGATAAAAATGGCATTGAAAGAGGGATCTCACCAAACTGTGAAAAAGGTAATTACAAAAAATTTAAAAATTTCACTGATTTGCTTCATTTGTGATATTTTCATGATTTAGAATCATGTAATATATTCCATTCCTAAGAATTAATCCTAGATATTTTTACACAGAAGCAAAAATATTACTACAAAGATGCTCATTGCCTTTTTTTGCGGGGGTAAGGATGAGGTAATATTTTAAAAAATTAGAAACAAATATATATCCAAATAGGAATTAAACCAAAATGTCTTTATTTTTGTTATTATTTTTTTAATTTTTTTTTTTTGAGACAGTCTCAGTTTATTGCCCAGGCTAGAGTAAGTGCCGTGGCATCAGCCTAGCTCACAGCAACCTCAATCTCCTGGGCTCAAGCGATCCTCCTGCCTCAGCCTCAGCCTCAGCCTCAGCCTGGGACTACAGGCATGCACCACCATGCCTGGCTAATTTTTTGTATATATATTTTTAGTTGGCCAATTAATTTCTTTCTAATTTTAGTAGAGACGGGGTCTTGCTCTTGCTCAGGCTGGTTTCGAACTCCTGACCTCGAGCAATCCACCCACCTCGGCCTCCCAGAGTGCTAGGAGTCACCGCGCCTGGCCTTTAACTGTTTTTTGTTGTTGTTGCTATCATGGTACCTCCAATATTTTTACAATAAGCATATTTTTAATTTAAAAGTCTAAGTAGAAGTCAGCTATGTGAAAGCATGAGAGGTGCCTCAGCAGGCTTACTTTTCACCTAACATACATCCCACACCCATTGCCTCCCAAATGTGATAAGAATGTGTTCCACTTACAGGTTTTACCAAAACCACCAGGACCCCACATTCACATCCCAGCCCAATCACAAACTACTTCCGCTGAGTTTGTTCCAAATGCTTGGAGAATGGAGCTGGCTTGTCCCTCTCTGCCCCCAGCGGAGGCTCCTACCTCTCAGCATGGGACAACTAGATGGCAGGTAGTGAGCCAGGCAGTTGTAGGCCACATCGGCAAGGGGGTCGCCTAAGGTAGAAAGTTCCCAGTCAAGCACAGCAAGGACCTCTGGCTTTTCTGGATGAAACAGCAGGTTGTCGAGCCTGCAAAGGCACAAAAGGAAGGAGAGACAACTCTAAGGAAACTGACCACCAGGGCAGACTCTGCCCCTCCAGGCCCACTCCCTGCCCTCTCTGTGCCTGCTTCAAAGGCTCCCTTGTGCTCTCTGGCTTGCAGCTGGACTCAGCAATCGAGGCAGCCGCAGGGGATAGGAAGGGGCCTGGTTATCTACTCCCCCAGCTCCTGCTCTGTAGACAGCTGACGGGTGGCTGCAATTCTCTCTACTAAGGGCCACCACTTTGGCCAGGCAGAGCTCCCCACAGAGCTGCCCTCTCTGGGTTGTGGGAATTACTCTCTCCCTGTAAGGGGTTTAAAATAGGTATACAAATTCTTTGACACTGCTCCCGCAAAAAGTAGAGTCTAATTCTTCCCCCATTGAAGCACCTCACTTCTAACAAATATAATGCAGGTGAAAGTGAAGCTAAGGGCTCTTCCCAAGACTACATGACGACAGAAAAGGAAATAGGACTTCCGCCCGACCTCCCTCTCTCAGAACACACACCTTTGGGGCCCACAGTTGCAACATTAGAAATCTAGCTACCCACATGCCACCATGCTGGAGAAACCATGAGGGAAACCACAAAGAGACAGAGAGACCCAAGGAGCACAGCTGTTTGTGTCTTCTCTGCCCAAGGCCCAGCATGCTAGCTCAGCCCCAGCCTGAGAGCCACCCAGTTGAAAAAGCTGTCCTGTCCCCAGACTGCAAAGATGCATGAGCAAAATAATGAGTCCCCCTTTACAGCCACTCAGGTCTGGAGTAGTTTGTTATACAGCAGTAAGACCCGGAGCACACAACTGCTCTTTCAGACCTAGGGCTGGTAAGGAGCCCCCACCGCTGCCAGCCCCAGGGTTCACACTGCTCCTCAGTGGCTCCTCTAAGCCATGCTATACCCCTGTATTGAACTCTCCTCAAATGGCCTCTTTGAGTCTGTTTCCTGCCAGGGTCCTCTCTAATGCATACTTTATTTAAAAGAAAAAGAAATTATCAACATGCAGAAAAATATGGAGAGTGATAGAACTCATGTGGCCATCTTCCAGATTTAACAGATGTCATATCTGCTTCTGTTATATTTGCTTCAGATTTAAATATATATATAAATATATATAATAGATGTAGCTAATGGCCTTCATCCCATTCCTTTCCCTCCTTCCTCAAAAATAACTGCATCCTGAAGTTGGTGTATATTAATATCAATCTCAGATATTTTTATGTTTCTTATCTGTATATGTATCTATAAACCACATATAGTGCTCTTTCAATTCTTTTAAAATTTACATAAATTTTATACACACACACACATATATATACTTTTGGAATTTCCTTTTTTTTTTTTTTAGAGATAGGGTCTTGCTATGTTGCCCAGGCTGGTCTTGAACTCTTGGCCTCATGCAATCCTCCTGCCTCTATCTCCCAAAGTGCTGGGATTACAGGTATAAGCCACCTCGCCCAGCCTGGGACTTACTTTTTTCTACTCAGCATTATCTTTTTTATGATGACTTATGTACCGCAAATTAGTTTATTTTACCCACTAAAAATTAGAATTCCTGCATATGAACAAATCACAATTTATCCTGTATTACAGTCATAGGAATGACCAATGGGAATACCTTTGTCTGAGTTTCCTGGCACCCAGGTGCAAATGCTTCTCCAGAAGAGGAATTATGAGCTGTTGCCTAGTCCCATCTCCTACGTTATTGGCTATTACTTTTCAATGTAGTTGTACCAGTTCATGCTCCTACTGCCACTGATCAGCTCTAGGAGATGGAAGCAATGTTCCTCCACTATCAACAGATGGAAAAACCTTTGACTGTAAGTGATGATCTATAAGTGGCAGCATACTGTCTAAAATCAGAGGCCGTCTTTCCTAAAAGGTCATCATACTTCATTACAGCTAAGGGAAGAGGTGCTCAAGCCACTGCTGGATGTCTCCTGCCCCTGTGCGCTTAATCACATTCACGGACACTCAAGATGCAAAAAGAGGCAAAGACAAGGTCCACGGAACAGCTGTTGTAGGCTGGTGACACCAAGGCCACCAAAAGAAATGGGTGGCAGTGGCTGGCAAAGAGAGTCCTGTTGGTGCTCCAGAGTCCCCAAATGGAGGGAGAAGTTGGACGGGGGAACCGGCTGCAGCCCAGCCGCATGCCGAGTTCAAGGCAGTGTGGGGAAATCCCTTGGTACAGTCAGCCAGGACTGACACGAGAGCAGATGCATCATACGCTCGTGGACAACCACGCGACATGGAGAAAGTCTTGCTGGCCACTCTCAGATGCAGGGGGATTCCCCAAAGGTGGCTAAAGGAAGAAGCCAGGAACAAGTAACACAGGTCAAGCTAGTAAAGAAAAGCCAATCTCATTTGGAATACAAAGAAGTGTCTTTAAAATAAGCCTTTACTGTCTAGCCTTGTTTAATAAAAGGCACAGTTCCCCAGATGGGCAAAAAAACAACCAAATGCATCAGAGGCCCAAATAAGGCGTGCTCAGATCAAAAGCAGATCTCCAGGTGCTGCAAGGAAGCAGAAAACACTACAAAAGCTACCCAAACGCCTAGGGGGCAGTTTTCACAGCAAGAGACAAGATGAAGCTAGACACTCATGCTGGATATGAGGCACATTGAAGTTCCAGTTTTAGCCACACTATAGACTCGTCATGTAGCCCAAGAAGACCACATCCACTCTCTCATTCCTTTCACTCCACAACCAACGGGAGTGTCCATTGCCCAACCCCTTGGGAGGTAAGAGACACCTCACTCCGCCTTATCGGCAAATAGTAGTTCTCAATGGAGAGTGACGCTGCCCTCCTTGGGGACACTGGACAGTATCCATGAACATTTTTGTTGTCACAGCTTGTGGGGGGAGGACGTGCTACTGGCATCTAGTGGGTAGAGGCCAGGGATGATGCTTGACATCCCACGGTGCACAGGTAGCCCCCACAACAAAGAATTATCTAACCCAAAATGTCACAGTGCCGAGGGTGAGAAACGCTGCCTTAAAAGGCCAGGCACAAGGAGACTCTGCAATGGGAGTAATTCCCACTGTACACTGGGCCCTTCCAATGCCCTTGCCATCATCTTCAGCTCTCCTAGCGCCTCGTCCACCTGAAGTCGCCGTGCACCACCGTGGTCCTCTGCTGACTGGGGAGATGGAGCGGCAGCCACTCGATGAGCCTCTCCATCGCCGGGATGGTGCTGGTTTCCGAGGCTCGGTACTGCTTAATCCAGGTTTGCACCTGGCGAGGAATATAGTCCCCTAGGGAAAGAGGATTAGAACATGGTGTGCTATTTCAACAAACTACAAAAGTTTCAAAAATTAACCGGCGTGGTAAAACCCTTTGTAACACTCTCCACTGGCACCACAGCTTTGAACCACAGCTTTGAATACACTCCTACATTCCCCATGCAAATGCTCCCGCTGCCTCAAGGTGGAAGCCACTGGCTGTTTAGTCTTGGCTGGATGAGTGTGGTCTGGGCACTGTTCCCAGCCACCTGGCCTCCAAGCATGATCCCTGGCCCTCTTAAAGATCTTGTGAGCTTCCTAATAGCCTTTAATAATCCCTTTTAGTCTACACAATAGTGGTTGGCTAAGAGCATGAACTCTGGAGCCCAACTGCTAGGATCTGAACCCCAGTTCTGCCATTCTCTAGTTATGTGATGATCTCAGGCAGGTTACTTAACCTCTCTGTGCCTTCGTTTCCTCATCTTGAGATGGTCCTCACAGAGCTGTTGGGAGGATAAAATACAGCCCTTGGAACTGTTCTTGGCATGTGGTGAGTACAACATGAGTGTTTACCATTACCAATCAGCTGCTTGCTAAGAAACTCAAGAGATGCCACAGTTAAGGGACTCGAAAGTTACGTCTAGGAACATAAACCAGAATGAATTCTGGAGTCAACCCAGGCCATGGTCCAGCTCCTCACTTGGTTTAACCTCTCTGAGCCACCACTGCTTCACTGGTGCAGCAAGAATACTGATGCCTGTGTTCCGCAGGGTTGTCGAGAAGACTACGTGAAATCCATACATGATGCACCAAGCACGGTGCCAGCAGAGAAGGCTGCCCTACAGGTGGTGGCCATTATTAATGTCCCTATTATTAGCTGTCAATTGACAATTACTAATTGCCACTATTTTTTTTTTAACTTTCCTCTTCTACTGGAATAATTGCCACTATTAATAACATAATAATTAATAAAAAAAAGTGTTAGGTCCCTGGCTCTAAGCCAAGCCTTCACTCCTTATCTAAAAGAAAAATGTTCCCCAGACGATGAAGCCTTTGAAGACAAGGACAGAGAAGTCAGCCTCCTTCTGCAGAGTCCACTGCATCGAAATGCTGGCCCTGTGGAGGATGCCCTGGGCTGTGAGACGTGGAGATCAAAATCCGTAGGAATTTAATTGGAAACGAATCAAGCCTTTAGGACTATCTGCCAGTTTTTAAGAATTACAAGAAATAGAAGATAGCAATAAATGAAACCACAAGGAAATAACATAGACAAATCTGTAAAACAACTGACTTGGTCTCTTAAAAAGTTCATTAAAGGCCGGGCACAGTGGCTTATGCCTGTAATCCTAGCATTTTGGGAGGTCAAGGCAGGAGGACTGCTTTAGCTCAGGAGTTCAAGACCAGCCTGAGCAAGAGCGAGACCCTATCTTTACTATAAATAGAAAAAATTAGCCAACCAACTAAAAACAGAAAAAATTAGCCAGGTGCAGTGGCATGTGCCTGTAGTCCCAGCTACTCAGGAGGCTGGGGCAAGAGGATCGTTTGAGCCCAGGAGTCTGAGGTTGCTGTGAGCTAGGCTGACGCCACGGCACTCTAGATCAGGCAACAGAGTGAGACTCTTGTCTCAAAGAAAATAATAATAATAATTTTAAAAAAACAAGTGGGGAGACTGTTCTAGATTCCCTGATTGGATCCTGATTTGGAAAAAACCCCACTTAAAATGGCAAATGTTCTTGGATATGATGATGGTACAAAATGTCCTTATTATTAGAAAACTCATATTAAAGTATTTAGGAATGAAGTGTCATAGTCTCTACAACTTTGTCTTGATACAACTTTGTTAATCATACAAATATACATATATACATATCTATATAAAATATGAGAGAGAGAGATAAGCAGCAAATATGGCAAAAGTTAACCATTGTTGAGATTAGTGGTAGGCATATTGTTATTCATTGTACTATTTTAATGTTTCTGTTAGTTTGAAAACTACCATAAGAAGTCAAATGCGGGCTGGGCATGGTGGCTCATGCCTGTAATCCTAGCACTCTGGGAGGCCAAGGCGAGAGGATCCTTTGAGCTCAGGAATTCGAGACCAGCCTGAGCAAGAGCGAGACCCCATCTCTACTAAAAATAGAAAGAAATTAATTGGCCAACTAAAAATACATAGCAAAAGTTAGCCGGGCATGGTGGCACATGCCTGTAGTCCCAGCTACTCGGGAGGCTGAGGCAGTAGGATTGCTTGAGCCCAGGAGTTTGAGGTTGCTGTGAGCTATGACAATACCACTGCACTCTAGCCTGGGTAACAGAGTGAGACCCTGTCTCTAAAAAACAAGACCAAAAAACTATCACTGTTGAAAAGAATATTTATGGGAAGGGGTGAAAATTGGAGCAAAATGTATCTTAAATATCCTTTTTTTTTAACTTCAAGATTTTATTGTCTTCATAATAAATAAAAGATGCTTAGAACTGGATTACTTGGCCCTTTCTCTTCTTATCTCCTCCCAGTTCAAAATGCTTGCATCTCTTAATAGCCAGCATTCTCTTAGATCTGCAGTTGGGCTTGACACACTCAAGCCTCAGCACAATCTTCTTTGTAGTTTTAGTCTTTTCCCAGAAAACCGGCTTAGTCTGCCCACCATAGCCACTCTGCTTCCTATCATAACGCCGCTTTCCCTGGGCATTCAGAGAATCCTTGCCCTTCTTGTACTGTGTCACTTTGTGGGGTTGGTGCTTGCCACATTTCTTACAGAAAGTCCAGCGGGTTTTAGGAACGTTCACGTTTGCATGCACGCTATTGGAAACGAAAAATATCTTAAATACCCTTGGCCAGTATCAGAAAAAACAAAAATTTAAATGGTCTAGTGAGATAAAAGTTGTAGAGGAGAGAGATTCTGTAGTCCATATAGTTAGTCTGTGAAGGGATTTATCCAAGGCTAAAATGTCCAAGTCAGCAACACCTCATTAAAACTACACTGGATTTCCAAGGAAGAAGCTGAAGTTCAATTTACATTTAGCAAACACCCGGTGTGTGAATAGCTGAAACCATTCGAATCCTAAAAGCAGAGCTGCTAGTGATAAAATAACCAGCATGGGCAATGTGCCTCTAGCTCACCATGCTTCCCGTAGTCTTCCAGGCCTGCAGCCTGGAGGTCCACACTGTGGATTTTGCACAGGACTCTGTTCATGGCAGTGTATATGGCTCGCCTCTGGCTGGGCTCCAAGCCTGGCAGGGAAGGGTCTTTATAGATGACACCTGGGCAGTACTCCATCAAATAGAAGGGGGTACCAATGATGCTGGAAGGGATGAAACAGACAGGGTGTTTCAGGGGCCCAACTGCTAATGTGGAGGGCTGTGAGTCATGGCCCTGCTCTAACTGTCCCTGGGTGTACGGGTTGAGTGCTGGTGCAGAGTTCAGACCCAGAAGACTGAACACTTCCTTTTTCCTTTGCACATAAGCACAGGGCATAGAAATATCCCTTCTCCCAGCTGATCCACACACACACACACACACACACACACACACACACACGTATACTTCTTTGCCACCATGCTGCTCTCTTATCTTTGATCCATTTGTAGAAGCCATCAGAATGGGTTTAAGTGTGACAATGTAGAAAGTGGCGAGGATATGAGGGAGACTTTAGAGTCCTACAGAACCAGGTATAAATCCCACCTCTGTTCTTTACTAGCAGTGTGACCCTGAGAAACTTACCAAACCTCTCTGAGCTTTGGGGTTTGGGGTTTTTTCTTTTTTTTTTTTTTTTTTTTTCTGCTTTTTGTTCTTATTTGTCCAGGACCATTTTCTCCCTTTATGCTTTGGTGGGATTTTTTGTTGTTTTTAAATCTGTAAAACATACTGACTTCAAAGGTAATTGTAAAAATTAAGTGAGCAAATATATACAGTGCCTGGCCTGGTGTCCGGTTCCAATGAGGCTTCAATAAATATCCCTTCTGTTATTGAGTTGTTTTAATCATGTTTTGGTAGTAGGAACTGTATAACATACACTACCCAGTAGTATTAAAGTGACCTGCTGACATGTAATTAATCTACCTTTTAGTCATTACTAGTAGTCAGTTTACTACTCTAAAAAATTATTTTGGGCTGGGCATAGTAGCTCATGCCTGTAATCCTAGCACTCTGGGAGGCCTAGGTGGGTGGATTGCTCAAGGTCAGGAGTTCGAACCAGCCTGAGCAGGCAGCCAGTCTCTACTATAAATAAAAGAAATTAATTGGCCAACTATATATATAGAAGAAATTGACCGGGCATGGTGACACATGCCTGCAGCCCAGCTACTCGGAGGCTGAGGCAGAAGGATTGCTTGAGCCCAGGAGTTTGAGGTTGCTGTAAGCTAGGCTGATGCCACGGCACTCTACCCTGGGCAACAGAGTGAGACTCTGTCTCAAAAAAAAATAATAAAATAAAAAAATAAAAAATTATTTTGAAAATTCTACCATTATAAATATTTATCCTGAGTTGAAAAACTTACAAAAGACATCTCTGGGATAATTGCGGAAATTCAAAGATGGTATAGATATTAAATAATATTATTAAATTATTATTAATTATCTTAGGTAAAATAATGGGGCTGTGGTTATGGAAGAAAACATCTTTATTCTAAAGAGATGTGTGCCGTCTGAAACTTACTACAAAAGGTCAGTCAAAAAAATAATTACATATATATTATACACATATACATATATACACAGAAAGCAAATGTGGCAAAATGTTAATAATGTTTTAATCTAGGTAAAGCATAAATAGGTATTTATTACACTATTTTTTCCTCTTTCACCTTTTCTGTATGTTTCCAAATTTTCGTAATTATAAAAAGTTGGGCAAAGGCCGGGTGCGATGGCTCACACCTGTAATCCTAGCATTCTGGGAGGCCTAGGTGGGCAGCCTGCTCAAGGTCAGGAGTTCGAAACCAGCCTGAGCAAGAGTGAGACCCCATCTCTACTATAAATAGAAAGAAATTAATTGGCCAACTAATATATATAGAAGAAATTAGCCGGGCATGGTGACACATGCCTGCAGCCCCAGCTACTCGGGAGGCTGAGGCAGAAGGATTGCTTGAGCCCAGGAGTTTGAGGTTGCTGTGAGCTAGGCACAGCACTCACTCTAGCCTGGGCAACAAAGCGAGACTCTATCTCAAAAAAATAAAAAGTTGGGCAAAAAGAGAAAAGACTTGTTACAAAGCTGTTTCAAATAGTTTAGAAAGACCACAATAAAAAATTAACAAAAACAAGCAACATGAAACTAGATGAATATATATTTTTGGAATGTTCAAAAAGATGTTTTCTACCAATCTCATAAAAGCAGGCATATGTTGATCTTTCAGGATAACTTAAAGATCTGAGAACTTCTGGGGGAGGTTGCTATAAAGTCTCTTTTCTCTCCTACCCAAATTTTATTTGTCTTGAACAATCTGGAATTTGAATTAGCAAATAGGCTTTTCACTCCTGTAGCTTGAATATGCAATGGCAAAAGTACATCTGAGCTTTACCTTGAATCTTCACAGAGGTCAATGACGTTAGGGACAGGTACTCCAGCCTTTGCAAGGGCTTTCATAATCCTGCCAGAACAAAATAACATAAGAATAACTGCTGGCAGAACTGATGAAATGTTCTTGAAATTACTTTTCTGATTTAAAAATTAGTACAGGCATAAATTGAAATGGAATTCTAAAAAATATTCAATTGACCCAAAAGTAGATAAGAACACAAAACAGATGGGATAAACAAAAAACAAATGGTGAAGTCATAGATCTAAATCAAACATATCAATATATGAGCTGACTATATGATGTCTATAAGAGTTATGCTTTAAATATAAAAATATAGATAGGTTGAAAATGAAAGGCTAGAAAGGGAAGTACTGTGCAATTGCTAAGTATAAAGAAGCCGGTGTGGCTACTTCAGTACCAGATAAAGTGGGCTTTCAGGCAGAGTATTACAAGAGACAAAGACATTTCAAAACAATACAACAGTTAATTATCAGGAAGATATTACAATCATAAATACATATGTGCTTTAAACATAGCTTAGAAATACATGAAGTAAAAATGATTCCCAATTAAAGAGAAAAGTGGACAAATCCACAATCATAGTTGGGATTTTCACACCCCTTTCTCAGTAATGATAGAACTAGACCAAGAGCTTTATCTAAAGACATAGATTTGAACAACACTACCAACCAACTTGACTTCATGGATATTTCTAGAACACTCACTCAGCAATTGCAAAATACATATTATTTCCAAGTATATGTAATATGTTTACCAAGATGAATCATGTGCTGATCCATAAAATAAGTCTCATTAAATTTCAATAAATATTGAAATCTTGCAGAATATTTCTCAGATCTCAGTGGAATTAAACTAGAATATGATTAAACCAATGTGTGGTATCTAGAAAAAAAACCAAATATTTGAAAACTAGACAACATACTTCTATATTTCAAATTAGAATAACAAAAATATAAAATTTGCAGAATGCAGCTATGAAGTGCTTAGAAAGAAACTTACAACTTTAAATGTATTAGAAAAGAAGAAAGATATTCACTGACTTAAGGTTACATCTTAAGAAGGTAAAAATAAACCCAGAGTAAGTAGAGGAAAGGGAATAAAATTAACAGTAGGAATAAAGTAAAAACAAAAACAATTAACAAAACCAAACATTGGTTCTTTGAATAGATCAACACAATTGATACATACCTAGCTAGAATGATGAGAGAGAGAAAGAGAGAGAGAGAACAAATTAACAATCAATACCAGGAATGATAAAGAGGGGATATTAATGCAGATCCTATATACTTTATTTATTTATTTTTTTTTGAGACAGAGTCTCGCTTGGATGCCCAGGCTAGAGTGAGTGCCGTGGCGTCAGCCTAGCTCACAGCAACCTCAACTCTGGGCTCAAGCATCCTCTGCCTCAGCCTCCCGAGTAGCTGGGACTACAGGCATGTGCCACCATGCCCGGCTGATTTTTCTCTATATATATTAGTTGGCCAATTAATTTCTTTCTATTTATAGTAGACACAGGGTCTCGCTCTTGCTCAGGTTGGTTTTCAACTCCTGACCTCGAGCAATCAACCCCCCTCGGCCTCCCAGAGAGCTAGGATTACAGGCGGAGCCACGCCGCCGGCCTCTATATACTTTAAAAGGCAGGCTAGGCTGAAGCTGGAAGATCACCTGAGCCCACTGCTCTCTAACATGGACAACAGAACGAGAACCTATCTTAAAAAAAAAAAAAAGGATAATAGGAATATGATGGAATAAATATGATGAATAATAAATTCGACAGCTTACGGTGAAATGGAAAAATTCCTTAGCATTCCACTTATCAAAACTAAAATAAGCCGGCGCTGTGCTCACAGCCTGTAATCCTAGCTCTTGGGAGGCCGAGGCGGGCGATGCTCAAGTCAGGAGTTCAAAACCAAGCCGAGCAGAGGAAACCGTCTC